CAGCCTTCTTGGTCGGTAGAGCATGGGAAGCTGAAAAGTCCTTGACTAGTGTAAGCACTGCTTAGCAACAACTAAGACATCGGTGTGTTATCAACATTATTCTCACCCTAAATCCAAAACACAGCACTGTACCAGCTACTAGGAAGGAAATTAACTCTATCCCTCCAAAACCAGGTCAACTTGTAAATTGCAAAAATCACTTTCAGGAATAGATGTTACAGACTAATTAAAAATATAGAAAACTTAAGATTTAATATACTGTGAGGTTTTGCATTATCTTTCATTTATATGGCTGCCTGATACAGCATTTCTTGAATGCAGTAAACTGTAGTTATACCTGTACCTCTCTGAAAATAACTTATGGCAGTTTCTTAATTCTTAGAAAAAACACACTTTACTTACTATAGTTGAAACACAATTTATTGGCATATAAAATTACTACCTTTTGAATTATAATGCTTTATACTTTAATCACCTCATGAAAATTATTTGCATAAATGTAACAGAGCAGTTGTAATTTTCCAGTCAAAGATGTGTATATTTGCACTGTAACTGAAAATGGAAATCAGTTTGGCAGCATTTAGTGTGTCTGTACCTGATATCCAGGTAAGGACTCTGTAGTGCAGATATAAATGACAGAACTCACAAGGTATATTATATGAGAATAATTACTGGGTTATTTGTACAATTTGTTTTTAATTGCCTAATCAGCATGTGTTGTATCTACCTCCAGCATCATGTTCCCACAATTCAGAGCAGGAAAATCAGATGCAGTCGTGCAAGTAGGGGTTAGGACATGTACCATATGAAAAAAGTAATAGGAATAAAGTCCTATCAAAAATGTACCTGTCAAAATGTACCTCAATTAAAATATATTGGAAAAAAATGACTGTGCTGAAAAGCTATAGGCAATTAATTCCTTAAGGTAATTATTAATTCTTATATGTTCCATATAAATCCCTATTTGCAGAATAAAATTTAATTTGTCGGTGTGTTCACCTCTGCGAGATAAATGACACCTTGTTCTTTGTAGAACCTACAGTTTCCTTGTACAAATATATAATTTTAAAATCTTAGATGGTGTTTTTTCCTAACCCAGGATGATTGCAGATTTTTTAGTTTGTTATATATATTCTACTGGGAAGATTTTTAAAACAGTAAGAAAGTAACTTCTCAGTTATACTTGCTTTGTGTCTTTTTTGAATGGCACACTGAAATCTGAGTCCACTCTGGTTGAATCCCAGAATTCCAGTAAGTGTATCTGCCACTGGGAAAAGAGGGAACACTGGATATAAGAATCTTTGCTGATTTTGGAATATCTTTACAGAAAAAGATAGTGTTTGTTCACTTGCCTTTTTTAAGGCAAATACTAACTTGTCAGGCACGTACTGCTACTAGTCTCAAATATTGGTTGTGGGTGTTTTTAACTTAATATGAACTTTTGTGATCTTTTTTCTTTTCCTTCCACCTCCCCCCCCCCGCAAAACCTACAGGGTTTATTTCCTCATATATGGGGGCTCAACAGAAGAACAGCGCTATCTCACAGCTCTGAGAAAAGAGAAGGAGGCCTTTGAAAAACTCATTCGGTAACAAAATTAGTTTACTACCTTTATTATTAATGTTTCATGTGATTCCCTTATATGCTTACATTTTAAATAAAGTGAAGTTCTTAACTGTGTGAAGGCTTTAGATAAACTTTTAATTCAATTGCTTTTCAGATGTTAAGAGAATTTTCCCACTGAGAATCAACGACAAGTCAAAACCTTCCTTTTCAAAGCACCTGATATTTTATTTATTAATTTTAGGGTTTTTAATATTAAATTTCAAAGGCTAAACAGCACCACTTGTACTTTTCACTAAATGTCTATGAATTTCATTTCTGTAAATGTGTTTTTGTCTGCAGGTAACATTTCTTGTAAGGTTTTTCTAAGGCTTTTATGACTTAAGTCATTGTGGGGAACAAAACAATTGTTTTCTTAGACTGTATAAGCAGCATTTTTAGACGGTGTCTTCTCACCAGTTTATACTGCTATTACTAGTCATTAGTTCCTTTGTTTCATGTGCCCTGAGAAGTTCTAAAAATAAAAAAATCAGATGCTAAAAAGTGCTAACAATTGAAAATAAAAATATAGCATCTAGCCCAACAATCTGGAAATCCTAGTCAATTGCCTATCTGATCAGGTTTGCAATTAGTATTAAACTATATATAATTTTACATCTGACTGAAGGGTATTAAAGTATTTTGATTCATGTTTCCTCATATAATTGCAGTTTTTAGTGTTCTTTCTTTGTGGTTCCTTAGAGAGAAGGCCAGCATGGTTATTCCCGAAGAAAGAGAAGGAAGAGATGAAACAAACTTAGACCTAATAAGAGATGCTAAACCTGCCTCTGTTTCTACTGACACACGCAAAGCAGGTGAGAAAGAAAGAGAAAAAAACTTAAGCCCAAAAAAAAGTGGCTAACCCTGCCTCTCTGACACACGCAAAGCAGGTGAGCAGTTCCTGAAGTTGGTAGTTGGTCTCTAAGCTTTGAAAAAGACCTGTTAACTATTGCGTTTAAATCCTGTCCAAAGAGTCTGGGTCATAGACACATTGCACATTGACTCTGCAGTCCTGATGGTAAAGAAACATTATCTCCCTTACTCCATCTAGCTCCGTCTGCGCAATGACAATGAATTATGTTTTTCTTTGAAAAGAAAATACAGATTAATGAAGTATTTTACCATTAAGACAGATACCATTTGGATTGTTTCTGGGCAGCTTGGTTATGTGTCAATTGCCTATCTGATCAGGTTTGCAATTAGTATTAAACTATATATAATTTTACATCTGACTGAAGGGTATTAAAGTATTTTGATTCATGTTTCCTCATATAATTGCAGTTTTTAGTGTTCTTTCTTTGTGGTTCCTTAGAGAGAAGGCCAGCATGGTTATTCCCGAAGAAAGAGAAGGAAGAGATGAAACAAACTTAGACCTAATAAGAGATGCTAAACCTGCCTCTGTTTCTACTGACACACGCAAAGCAGGTGAGCAGTTCCTGAAGTTGGTCTCGCGGCTCTAAGCTTTGAAAAAGACCTGTTAACTATTGCGTTTAAATCCTGTCCAAAGAGTCTGGGTCATAGACACATTGCACATTGACTCTGCAGTCCTGATGGTAAAGAAACATTATCTCCCTTACTCCATCTACCTCCGTCTGCGCAATGACAATGAATTATGTTTTTCTTTGAAAAGAAAATACAGATTAATGAAGTATTTTACCATTAAGACAGATACCATTTGGATTGTTTCTGGGCATCTTGGTTATGAGACTGTCTAGTATTGCTTGTAGTGAGGCGGAGAGAAATTAAAACATTGAAACTGAAGTCTACAGATAGTCAAAGGCAGTGTTGTCCTTGAGCTAGTAAATGTTGGGGACTTCTTTTGATCTTGGCAAAACAGATTGCCTGGGTAAACAACTGCGGATTGTGTTTTTTGTCTACTTTCTTTGCAATAAAGCATCTTTTTTCTTTTGTTGCAGTTCTAACCACATTTTTGTTTCTTTCTTTTGACACGTATACTCTGTCTTCATCTTTACAGCTCTGCCCCTGTTTTTCTTTGCTGTCATTTTTGTAATCCTGCTCTCCTTTACCATATGCTCTCTAATCTTTGCTGTTATGTCTTTTGTGGCCTTGATGCTGCAGTCTCTTCATGTGTCCTTCTACAGATCTATAAGAGGCTAAAATATAACTCCTACAATAAAATGCCACATTTCTGTGGGAAACAGATGGAAATAAAAAGGATCAGCTTCATTATCTTGTTTTGTGGGCAACTTTTTAAAGATTTTCCTGATGCATTTAAATAATTTTCATCTACAGTTTAACGTATTTCATTGTCACATATACAAAGCTTATAGCAGGTAGCCTGATAGTTCTATTAAACTGCAGAGCATACTCCATAAACTACAGTATATAATTTGGCAATTGATTTTTGTCTATAACTGAAAAATTAAATAAAGTCTGGATTTACTATACTGCTGAATTTGTGAAGATCTGTGAGATGTGAAGTCCACCCGTTACAGAAGTGTTGGCAGCACACAGGAAAACTATGCAACCAGAGTCAGAGGTCGTAAGTATTAGGTTAACTGTATTTATTTTGCTCTTTAGGTGGACAGGAACAGAAGAGTGTTCAGCAAACTGTAATAGTGGATATGCGGGAATTTCGTAGTGAGCTTCCGTCACTGATTCATCGTCGTGGCATTGACATTGAGCCTGTTACTTTGGAAGTTGGAGATTATATTTTAACTCCTGATATCTGTGTAGAGCGGAAGAGTATCAGTGATCTGATTGGTTCTTTAAATAATGGAAGACTGTACACACAATGCATTTCTATGTCCCGTTACTATAAGCGACCAATTCTCCTGATTGAATTTGATCCTAACAAATCTTTCTCCTTGATTCCACGAGGCTCTCTACATCAGGAAATTTCCAGTAATGATGTTACTTCTAAACTAACCCTTCTTACACTCCATTTCCCAAAGTTACGTATCCTGTGGTGTCCCTCTCCCCATGCTACTGCTGAACTGTTTGAAGAGTTAAAACAAAACCATCCCCAACCTGATGCAGAAACAGCAATGGCTGTCACAGCAGATTCTGAAATTCTTCCTGAGTCAGACAAGTATAACCCCGGTCCCCAGGACTTTCTGTTAAAAATGCCAGGTATTAATGCAAAAAACTGCCGAGCCTTAATGAACCACATCAAAAGCATTGCAGAGCTAGCGACACTGTCAAAGGACGAACTCTCCAAAATTTTGGGTAATGCTGCCAATGCCACGCAACTCTTTGACTTTATTCACCTGACCTACGGAGAGGCAGTATCTAAAGGAAAGAGCAAAAGATGACTAATGAGGTTGTTCAACATAGGGCATAGATAAGCTTTTCTTGCACAGTACTTACTTAGGCAAAATACATGAAATATTTCAATAAATGCCCTCTAAGATAACCAGCTGTTCCTTGCTAATGCTGTTCCATCAGTTTTAATATTTGGTTTAATTATTACTGAAAGCAAGTTTCAAGAGGAATTAAAAATGTTTTTAATAGAGAAATGCAAATGATTTTTATTCTCTCTACAGCACTTTAACCAATTCTATAATATCACTGAATGAACTAAGTTCTTCACCAAGTCCATAAGAATTAAGTGCTAAGACTAATTGATAAAGGTGTTTTCTTTTGAAAGTTATGATGTCTTGTTAAAGCTAAAAAGGTACTGTGTTTTGATTAGTATGTGTGACCTGCTGCATGATATATCACTTTGCTTTTGCCATTTTTATTAATGTCTTACTCTCTGGAAACTACCAATTTTCCATTGACAGTGATGGAACTATTTGTAACACATGAATTTTAGAACTTCATCATAAGCCTTTGTCACAGTAAACTATAATTGTATGGTATGTTCTACATTGTATCTGCTTACTTTACTAGAAGTTATACTTTCTTTTTTGACATTCCAAACTCAGTACAGCTGTCTTGCTAGATTTTGCAAAGTGCATTCCTTTGGACTAGACTGGATAGAGATTCTGTGGTAGCACAACACAACTTAATTCTCAGCGTGCCTTACTTACGCTTTTAAGATGCTTTTTTTTTTTTTCCCCAAAAATCAGTTTTGATAGCTCTTTCACCTCATTCATTTGAAAGTGAAACATTTAGGTATACCATTGAGACTATTCTTTTATACCAGAGCATATTTCCTCTCATAAAATGCAATAGTTTTCTAAGTAAGGTTTTCCAAAAGTGTTTACAGTTTTTCCAATATTGTCTTCTTTCTGTGTCCTATCGCACTTACATTTTAATGTCTTAAATAGAACATCTGTCAATAAATTCAGTAAAGCTCTTGTCACCTGAAGATAAAACTTTTAGCATTCTGTGTAGCATAAAACCAGGAAAAGTTACTCTTTTGATAGTTTGTGAATGTGTATATTGTTTAAAAACATATATTCTGCACTGAACTTTGATACGACAACTGTGTAAAAAACTGCCATTGCCAAATGGGTGTCATTACATGCTAATGTATTTACATTAGCTATTCACAAAATCTTTATCTATAATGACTTGCACATATGTACTTATATGATTCTAATGCTAACAACAGATCAATATAATCTCCATCATTAGAGGAGAAAGTATTGATCTTCTGTATTCAGGTTTAGTAAAAACTGTACTGTGCACTTTCAGGTTTAATGTTTGTGCATTTTAAGTGTGAATTATGAATTTGTTAACTTAGAGTCTAGGACTGAGCTGTGACAGACTTCAAAGTGAACATTTTTCTGCAGATGTAAATTTCAGTATTAAATACATCCATAACAAGATTAAAATCTGTTAATTATCTTGTTTCTCTTTTGGCTGCATTGATATCAGAACATTTTTACTTTTAGTGTGTGGTTTATAATCCAGATCTTAGGGTTTCTATTGCCCTATATTCTAATTTATTTCATTTAATATAAAAAGAAGTCTTTCCATGAGACTTTTGCTTATTCAAAGCAATAAGTTCAGAAATGTTCAGGGTTGAGAATGCCTGTAAAGTCGTGCTAAGAGAACCAAAAATCAGAGTAAGAACATAACTGTCCTGAATGCATAGCCTATAGAGCCTGATTCAGAAAAGGAGAGCTGAACAACCTTTGAAAACATGTATTGTTCGTGCATTTGCATCATTAAGATGTTACATGAGCTGTGGTTTTATGTTTTGGGTTTGTTTTAGTTTTTGGTTTGGGGGGTTCTTTTCAGATGTATGGCATCGGCTTTGTCAGTGTTTTGGGGTTTTTTTGCTTAGATTTGCATAAGGTGAAAATGAAGGGTATATGAAGAGGTTATAAAGTTGTAGCTTTGTGTTGTACGCTAGATCAAAGTCATATAATGCAATTAAATAATATTTGCTAAATATTTAGATTAAATTGTCTTTTGTTTGTATATGTGGAATTTTTGTAAGGTTTTTTTTTTTTGGTTGGGTTTTTTGTTCAATGCAGGATTTAGCTTTTTCTTTAAAATAACCACAAGTAACATTGTTGTATGTTATTACTGCTTATTTGTGATTTGGCATTTTACTGTATTAGGTTAGGTTGCAAGTTAGTGATGTGTCCTTCTGGGGCAGTAGGTACAAATCATGAACAAAGGTAGAAGAGGTCTTGTCTCCTGAAACCACTTAACCCTGAAATAACCAAGCCAAAGACTCTACCTGTATGCAGATGCAACAAAATGTTTGGGTGAATGATGAAAATCTAGGATGCGTTACCTGGCCTTACAGTGTTCTTCAGCTTGCTTTCATCAACAGTAATGAAATTTTGTATATCTTCTTGTCATTGCTTGATGTTTTAAGTTTGTGCTTTTTTATTAAAAAAACAACCAAACAAACAAAAAAACTGCCTTCAGTTTGGGAGTCTTAGATTCTTTCTTACACCCAAACCAAGACTACACATTTCAAGGTCACTGAATATGTGAAACCAGTGGGGTTTATATGCTATTGGGAAGTAAGTCAGCAAGTTGCTTGTTTCTGCAGTTTGTCCTTAGACTTTGATTGCACAAGGTTTCTTCTAGAATAACAATAAAACCAAAATCTCTTAGGAACAAATGCAGCTTATATTAGCAAATATAGAATCATAGAATCATTAAGGTTGGAAAAGACCTCTAAGATCGAGTCCAACCGT